TGAGTGTAATGTTTTGCAATGAATCTTTGCAAATCGCCTTTCCTAATAATGTTCTAATTAGCAAGTTTCAACATGAATGCGGCTAAAGTAAACAGTCTCTCTGAGAGCGGCTTGGATGAGAGGGGCGGGGTCAGCAGAGCTCATTAACATTTAAAGGAAAATGCTACAAAAACGGCTTGATCTGAAAAGAGCTGTTTTTGACAGGGAAAAAAAGGTGTTTTTTACACTACCATTGAGAAATTTTAACCAAACTATGTTACAGACTTTTCATTAAGACCCTAAAGAATCATATCAACTTGTGGAAAATGGGCATCCTATGACCCCTTTAAATTCTTCCTCCTGCTTCGCATCGACTGAATGCTCATTTGGAATTTGACATCATTATCGTCCCAGCGTGCCCTGTATTTGTGGCCGATTCTACCAGCTCCAATTAGGATGAAGTCTAATTACTTTCATTTAGTAAGGTATTAATTCAGAATTCACCTTCTCCCCACTCTCATTAGTTCTGGCACAATCTATCAGACAGTATAATTACAGCTGCCTGTTTGGAGTCTAGAAAAGGGTAAGAAATGAACTAAACGTGCCCCTATGACATGACGATATTCATTGACTGACATATAAACATGATTTCTGTTGCTTTATAGTTCACTGCGGTTGTTTTATTTCCTTGGTTGACATTTATGTGGTTTTGGTAGTTTTACATCTGGGTTATAGGTGGCGTGAGCGAACGGTATAGCCCTTTAAGGAGTTGTTTGAGCGTTTGGTTTATTGTAGCCATATATGTCTGGCCTGTTTCATCAGACCTTGAGAACCGCCGCAGGTCATCAGACATCCAGGAGCTTTCCTGATGTCACACACAGATAGATGTACACTGCTGTATGACCCTTCAGGCTGTACAAGATATTGTCAAAGCGATCTTTCTGATATGTTGTTCTGTCTCTCTCTCTCTTTCTGAGGATAAAGTGAGTCACTGTTCTCAATCTGCACTTTAAATCTGCACTTTTTTGTGTTTTTACATGAGCTGGGTTATTTTTATTACCTGTAAGGCATCTATGAACACCATCATCCATGGCTGTAGATCCGAGGAGGACATGTCCGCACGTCTACACCAACAATCAACAGCGCAAGATGCCCCTGGCCACCCCTTATTGACCCTCTTGTCCATAGATGTCCCAAAATCTCATCTCCATACATTTAATGAAAGGCTATAATCTTATTAGTTTTGTCAGTTCATCTGAACATGAACATTTGTGCATTTAGATTTTTTTTCTTTGCCTATTTTTGTGGACACATTAATGTTTTTAGATTTGTGGAAATAATGTCTTTATTTCAACGGAACTGGTATTTATTACTATTATTATTATTCATGTGGTTATTCCACTAGATGTATATTTTAACTTCAATACTTACTGAAACCTATATAGAGTAAAACTGAGTGAAATAATTACTTCAAATATTGACTAGATAGATAGATAGATAGATAGATTGATTATATGTTGTTTTTATTATTTGATTGTACTATTGATAAATTGTTTGGGCTTTAATGTTTGTTCTATTTTTGTTTTGTAAGGTGTTCTTGGGTGTTTTGAAAGGCGCCATCAAATAAAATATAGTATTATTATTACACACACACACATACATACATATATATAATTATTATTAATTTACCTTTCAGCTAAAGCTCTTTTAACCATAATTCTGCTTTGTTTGTCATCGGTCATAACACAATTTTAAATAGCAGAGCTGATTTAGTATTTTACATTTATGACTAGATAGATAGATAGATAGATAGATACAGTAGATAGATAGATAGATAGATAGATATATATATATAGAGAGAGAGAGAGAGAGAATTTGGAAAAAAATACTTTATTACAATTATTTACATGAAACAGTTTTCCAAAAAAAATTTACATTTACCTTTTAATACCACAAAAAAAAAAAAATCCAACAATTTTACATGTACCTTTTAACACTTGTCTATATTAGTAGAGGAGAAAAAAAATAAGGCTCCATCAACAACAGAGCACAGAGCCTCATTTTTACACCATTTCATTTCAAATGTGATAAGATCATCCATGGAACTGTAAAAATGAAAATCAATGAGTATTCTGGATTTAACTGTAGCTAAAAACATAGCATTAATATCTTGATCTGAACCCGGTTCTATCTTATTTTTTCTACTCATATAGACTGCTAACTTTGCTTGACCTATAACAAAATTCAAACGTTGACAAATAAACCTCTTTTTCCTAACACATTTAAAACCAACAATAAATACGTCTATAGAAAAAGATTCATTAAAACTATCAAATACATTTTTCTAATAGACTAAGCAACCTTTTCAGTCTGAAACAATCCATATAAGCATGAAAAACAGTTTCTCGCTATGCTGTAGTGACATCAGGATTTAAAACTGAAATAAAAGCATTAACTGCTACTGCACCATGTAAAAGTCTCCATTGTATGTCCCCAACTCTTTTACTTAAAGGTGGCTTATAAAATGATCTCCATTCTGGTTTATCATCATCAGACCATTTTAAAACATTTCCCCATGGTGTATCAACCCTCTTGTCAAGCACCTTTTTGTTAAAAACCAAAACACAAGCTCTATAAAGAGATTGAAAAATCTTTAAGAAAAAATTAAGTACTTGAAAAAAAATTGAGACAGAGATTTTCCAGAATTTGAAAACATTCCTGAAACATCATCCAAAACAGGTAAAAGAAAAAAATCAGATAAAACATATAGTAAAGCATTTGTAACATTTTTACTTTCACAGTAATCTGATAAAAGTTTCAGTTCAGCAGAAGTGAGTCTTTTTGCTATTTTTGTAGTAAATGAAAAACAAATCGTCTTGACTTAATTTTCAAACTTAAAACAACTCTTTCCGTGTTCTCAAAGTCTGGTCCAGTCAAGTGAACTAAACTCCCCATTGTACATATTTTGGAAGCCACACGTTTTTCTGTAAGTCCAGGAATATTACAGTCATCATTTGTTAAATCAAAGCGTGCTCCAGCGGTTCCCTTTCATGGGAACTTCGAACTGCGTCCTCTAGGGGTCGCTATGGGGAACGCCTCGTCGTGACCCGTGTCTGAAGCATACATAGAAAAACACCAACTCGTTGGCCGGCGACAGCCATGACGTCACTACTGTGGGATTTTTAGATCAGTACTAGTTAGTTTCCATTCATATATAACACAAGGTACTGCAGTAATAATATCAATAAACACAAAAAATTAGGCCTACACACAAAAGTCTATTTTATAAATATACACTAGTGTTTAAAGTTTGGGTCTGTAAGATTTTTTTTTTAATCAGTCTTATACTGTATGCTCAGCTAAGCTGAATTTATTTAATTAAAAATACAGCAAAATCAGTAATATTATTACAGTTGAAAACGTCTCAGGTTACTTATGCAACCATGGTTCCCTGAGTAGGGAACGAGACACTGCGTCCTCTAGGTTTCTTGCCATGCTGCGGATGCAAGCTTCAGACGAAGAAGTGAATGATGTGTAGCTCCCGGCGCTTATTTATACTATAGTCGCACCGGTAGTGACGTCATGGCTGTCGCCGGCCAACGAGTTGGTGTTTTTCTATGTATGCTTCAGACACGGGTCACGACGAGGCGTTCCCCATAGCGACCCCTAGAGGACGCAGTGTCTCGTTCCCTACTCAGGGAACCATGGTTACATAAGTAACCTGAGACGTTCTTCATGGAGCCAGTAGAGACAGAAAATGTTCTTCTCTTTGCACTTTGAACATATTCCACACTTCCCATTGAAATTCAGCTTTGAGAAGTCCATAAAAAAAGATTCCTGTCCATTTTCAAATTTTTGTAATATTTTACATGCAACTACTTTCCAGCTGGAAGTTACTGAACCATTAAGAAGTCTTTGCAAAAACTGTTAACAAAAATTTACAACTAAAATGACTTGAGTCTCTGCTAACAGACGCAGAGGAGGATCTATGCAGGTTAACTTATGCTACTAAATTGTTAATAACTAAGGTTCAACCTCTATATGACATATTTGGGATTAACTACTTCCATCTTTCAAGTCGACCTTTGACTTTTTCAAGGAGTCCTTCCCAATTTATTTGTACACAGAGAGAGAGACCCTTACGAAAAAGAAGTTTATTCAAGTGTGCTATTAGTATACTTCTTTTAAACAAAAAAATAGGAAAGTATACTTTTAGTCTACTTTTTATGTACTTCTCAGAAATGGGCTTTATGTACTTCTCAGAAATATACTTAAAATGACATTTAAGTATACTTGACTTATACTTAGAAAAAGTCTAGAGAGAGAGAGAGAGAGACTTTGACTTTGAAAGCCACTTTAATTACCAAAAATATAAACCCATCATACATTAATTAACATCATGAACATATTAAGGAAAAAATAATAATAATAAATAAATAAAAAATTACATTCAAACATAAATCTTAAGAGATCCATCATCATCAATTCCACAGATACATTGATTTACTCCCCATACATTATTAAAAGTTTCTAAATCTTCCAACAAGTGATAAAATGCATATTCTATTTTCAATCTTGATTTCATTAAACCCTTTAAAATTAACACTGCATCAGTTGAGCCCACACCACTGAGTTTACTTTTACGTGACAGCCATATTGCCATTTTGGCTTGTCCAAACAAAAAATGTATTAAAACGTGAACTTGTTTTATATTCCAGCAATATTTGGGTCCATAAATAAAAAACATCATAGAAAAAAACTCCCCCAAAGTTTGACACCATCCCTCTATTTGAGCAAACAATTGCTGTAGTCTCATACATTGACAACATAAGTGAAAAACTGTCTCTGTTGCTCCACAAAAAGGGGGGAGAGAGAGAGAGATTTTTTATTATTTGATAAGGGAGATTTTTGTGAGCAACTTACCTTATTAATGAAAGTGTTTGAACGTTGAAGAGTAAAGCCATTACACATACAGCAGGTTTACGGGTGTTATCTAATATAACCAGCAGGAGTCTCATGATCTCAAGCTGGCTGCTGCAGAAGTTTGGCTTGATGAAAGTTCAGAGCGCGGAAGTGAAGAGAAACTTTCGCATGAATCAGTGCAAGAGAGCGACACTTTCCGCGTTTGAGTGTGAATACGGATTATAACGATGACACGGATGCGCCAGTGTTTCTGAGGAAATACCGAGTTGCATTGTTTTGTGAGGCTTTATTTCAGGTCTGATTATGGGGTTGCCGACTCTAGAGTTCAGTGACTCTTTTGTGGACAGTCCGGACTTTAGAGAGAGACTCAAATGTCACGAGATCGAGCTGGATCGAACGAACACGTTCATCAAAGAGCTGATTAAAGATGGACACCAGCTGATCTGCGCGCTCAAGAGTGAGTACACAACGCATCAATACAATAACACCCGCATCCCTAATATCACAGTTCATGTGGGCTGTAACGCAATGCCTAGTGTGCTGTATACTTAGAAAGCACGTGGTCACTATAGGCGTGAGTGCGCGTGGGATGCTCAACAATGGTGACTAGGTAGGCGTCTCACTAGGTTTTTAGACACAGCCAACGTGATGAATAAGAAGTATCCGAGTTTGTTTATTCTCCCCTGTGATCACTAATAGTAATTATAAAACATGCAAAACTTGTATTCGAAAATTTACTATTATTTTCATAAATAGTTGTCCCATTTTTAAATCCAAAAAAGACACAAACCCACTGATAAAGTTACTGTATCTAACAATTAACACAGGATGAAATGTAGCTGGTTTTAATCACATCAAACAAAATTATTTTAGCCTCACCTCACTGATCTTTCTCTGCTGTATCAAAAAAAAAAAAATTTAATTGAGCAATGTGATATTTTAATTATTTTAAAACGTACTATTTAGCTTAACCCTGTTACTGAATGTTGTCCATTCCATTTAAAATAAAGCATGACAGGAAGACTAGTAAGTAAATCATTACATTTTATCAAATTATGCACAAATTTGCCAAGGTTTCTCAAGGTCAACTACATTCAATTCAGTTAACAAACACAAAATTACCAATGAAACATTTTTCTTTAATTTATAAGAAATTTACTTAATTTTAAGTTGAATTGCAGTTATTTACAGTACAACCTTGTTACCCAGTCGAGCATACTGTAGAACATTTGATCTAAAATTCCATAAGTTTAGTCAATGTTCATAGCTTTGAACTTAATTTAAATTGAAACAGCACATCTGATATGGACAGACACGATTCTAGCCTTAGTTTGCAGCCGTTTTGTGAAAGTGACATATTAACAATTGTTATTTCATTATAAATATGCTTGTCTGATCAGATAAGTTAATATACATCCAGTTATGTAATAACATAGCCTAACTATAAAATTACAGAATCTTTTTTTTTTTTTTTTTTGCTGGTTGGGGTAGAGAGACAGAAAAGGAGAAGATACATTGTGAAATGTCAACATTTCTATTTCAGTTCATGTTTGAATGTTTGTGAGATAGTATCTTCTCAGAGTTTATCTGAAGTTCTAAATGGCGAATAGTTTACTGATCAAGGTTACAGATACATTGAGACTGTTGTGATTCTCAGTGTAGTCTGTCACTAGAGGCCTTTGGTTTATTAGCTGCTTACACTGATCAGTGCTTTTCTTGAAAAAAAGAATCATTTTATTCAGGTAATTTTTTGTATTCTTTTAGACCTAACTAGTATGCAGGATGCCAACGGCGCTCAGATGGTATATTTCCAACCTGATTTCATGGAAAAACATAGTGATTTCATCCAATGTGAATCGATTTTTACAAGAAAGTAAGCAGGTCCACTAACCTCACCCGTAAATCATAACTGGGATGAAAGCAGATCAAACGCATTCATACAAATCAGCCACCAATTTGCCAAAAGGTCAAATAGGAACTGCCATGAGATTGTGCTGGTATTTACAGTACATTCTTGAAATATGCAGCTGTGCTTGCATCCATGCATGCTTTTTCAGCTAGTATTTGTCTGCCAAATGCATGAATTTATATGCGTTATACTGTGTGTGGAATGCTGGAATTGTGATTCTAGATGATTGTAGATGACAGTAATGAACCCCCCTCAGGGTTGCCCTCTGGATTATCTGATTCCCATGCCAAGGCCGTGAAAATGCTGTGGCTTCTTTTTTGTGTGTGTGTAATTGAGGCTTTCAATATTATGTGGCACCGCTGACCTTTAGACATAGAAACAAAAGATAACTTGTTTTTAGTGAATGCCACATTAGCTCTAAGACAACAGCAGACAATGGGAGAACTGTTTAATGTTGTTAAAGAAATAATTCACCCAACAATGAAAATTCTTTCATCATTTAATCACCCATGTCTTTCAAAACTTGTATTACTTTATTCCTGTGCTTTTTATTTTATTTTACAGTGACTGTTTTAAAACTTAAAAAGGGACACAAAAGTGCCATAGAAGTAATATAAGTAATATAAGTGGTCAGTGTGATTTGTAGATTATATTCTAAGTCCTCTGAAGCCATACGATAACTGTAGATGAGTTTGTTTCTTCATCTGATCAGATTTGGAGAAATTTAGCATTCCATTACTGGCTCACCAATGAATCCTCAGCTGTGAATGGGTGCCGTCAGAATGAGAGTCTAAAAAACTAATTGAAAATATTACAATAATCTACAGGTAATCCACATGACTCCAGTCCATCAATTAACATCTTGTGAAGTAAAAAGCTGCATGTTTATAGGAAACAAATCCATCATTAAGAGATTTTAACTTTAAGCCTTTACTTCTGGCCAAAATATGAGTCCATAAACCATAATAATGCTTCCTCCAGTGAAAAAGCCCATCGCCTGTTGTCCTCTCACATCAAAATCCATTGACATACTGTATTCGCTTAGAATGGTTTTGGACTGTTTTTGCTTGTGAATGGCACTTGATCTGTGCATATTTCTCTTATTCCAATGAGACAAATGTTTTACTGGAGAAAGCAATCATTCATAATTCAACTGCATGGAAAAGAGCAAATAAGAAGTATTAAAAATCGACCCTTTTGTGTTCCGTGGGAAAAGTCATAAGGATTTGGAAAAGCATGAAGGTGAGTAAATGATGACATGATTTTCACTTTCAGGTGAACTATTCCATACTTGTCTATTAAAGTTACTTTCATTGACACTCATAACATTCTCATGTCCTTTAGCTTACTTTGCATGGGACACAGACAAGACTACCTTGCAATTTAATACACACACAAAATAAAATAACATCAGTTTAAAAAAATTGTACAAAGACTAATTGTCCTAAAAGGTCTGTTTCAAATAGGTCTATGATCCTCCTCTGTACTGTAAATGTGTTGCTTTAACCTTGCTTTCTACCCAGTAGGAAACTTTTAAAACTAGCATTTCCTTTTATCATTCAGTGACGCTTTTAAAATACTTCTCTCCAGTCAAATGAACCCAAATTAATAATACTGTGTCTTTCACACTGATGTGTCACCGGGCGGCAGTGCAATTTTGTTCACTTCATTCAATGCTTCAGTGGAGTGCATGTTTTTGAAAAGGTCACATAATCCTGTGGTTAACGGCGGCACATAGTGCCTCGGTTAGAATCTGGGGTGGTCATTTTCTCTAGCTTTTTCTTAATGTAATATAATACTTTCTTTGTGCTTCTTTACCATATTTTCCCCTTCTTTGCAGTGGGACACAAATAATGTTTTTTTTTTTTTTAAAGCAAAAAAATTACAATGTAATTGAAAAATATGTAGTTGTTACCTTCTGACCCTTGAAATATACATTTACAAGTACTTTATGTGTTGAAATGTACAGTATGAATGTATGGATATAGTTTCTTATTTTTTTATATAGATATATTTTAGATATCTAACTCTATCCCCAAACCTAAGTATAACCATTTTCAATAGTATACAAAAAAAAACAAACAAAATAATACTGTTTTTTTATATTAAAAATATAAAGACAAACATAACACATAGACAAGTTTAATTACAAAAATGTATTCCAAAAATGGTTAAAAGCAGTGCCAAAGTAATCTAAATGATGTAAAACCATTGCAATAACATTTCTTGAGGCAGCAAAGTTTTTAAAGTGTTGGATTTCACAGTCAATATAGGTGGTAAACAAAGATCGCTGAATAAAGTTTGAATTAATACAATTAATTCTGAATGTTTGTATTACAATTCACAAAAAAAAAAAATCATGATCATGTTATGGTGCATTTGTGGTGTACTTAAGGGACATGTCTTCACAGCATATTCAGCTTTTTTTTTTTTGTAATTTTTTATTAGCAGCATATTCAGAAAACTTAATGAATAGTTAATACGTAATGGATAAATGGTTACAGAAATTTGATTCATTTTGAAGTTTTAAAGTGGTTTTGTTTAAGATAATATAATCTGGCACCAGAAGTCACAGAACAGAATGAAATGTTATAATTTCAAACAAAGTAAACGTACCAGCTGCTCAATTTTAATAAATGCAATCAAAAGCATAACTGATTAATGCTATTAATTAGATATTCATAGATTAAATAAGAATTTGTAAATGTTTATCTCAAAAGTTGTTTACATGTCAATTATTTATGTTTCAGATGCTGTCAATACATTAATATTGTATGTTTTAGTGTCTATGCAAATGTAGGTAAGTGTATGTATAGTACAACCACATTTTACATAAAATACATACAAATACTCTGTGGCATAAGTTGCATACTAGACGCTGTTCCTGGTTAGTTTTTGTTCTTGTTTTTTTGCTTTTGCATTGTTTTTAATACCTGGCAGAAACATACATGCTGACAGTATGTCACACTGAGTCACAATTAATGGTCAACCGATATATCGCCAAGGCCGATATATCGGCCTATATTTGGCATTTTTCAAATATTGGCATCGGCCGATAAGTTTTTCTCTCACATTCTCCCTCTTGTAGTTCTGTCTAATATAGATAGAAGTCTATCTAATAATCAGATAGAACTGTTAAACAAAGGAATTAAAATGTAGGCTATACAAAAAAGTATTCTAACGATTGCTTTAATATTATTAGTAAGGCAAACATTATACTTTCTCATTTGCCGTCAGCATTCAGCAAATACGCATTTATATCATTTAAACAAATCTTTGAATGACTAATGAACATTTAATTTCACAAACCTCGCAAACTTAGTCGGATCCAGCTGTGAGATCTTGTGAAGTGTGCATTGTATCCTGCATGATCGCGTGTTCTCTGGGTGACGG